TACGTGGTTATCGGAAATGGGCCCAATTATGGACTAATCCGAAAAATATTTTGCTAAGTTATATATGTATACACAAAACATATTATTCCAATATCTTTATTTCTTAATTAGTTATTTGTATTTAAGTATTTTTCGAAAGTGGACCATATATGGGAGCTAATACCAATTAACGATAAATCTATTTTCGAGAATATGTACCTTTGTATGGGGGCTTTGGGAAATTTTGAATCAATTGTTTTGAGTTTGAACATATTTGATCCCTGGGCAAAGAAAATAATGTTTAAATAATGTTTACTTTAGTAGTCTCAATAAAGTATTTTGCTTTTTTAGGTTTTTTATTCATTTTTTTAATATTGCTGCATTATTTTATAAAATTTAATATTTTTATTACTCCTATATATTAGAATAATATTTTTAGATAGTTTAGTAGTGGTAGGACTAAATTTGGACATTTCTTAATCGATTTATTATCCTATATACCTATAAGAATTTATCAATATTTGACTTAACATAAAATCTATCGTTTCTTTGATTTAATTTCGAAAATAATAAGAAATTTTGAATTGGATACATGATATCTTAGATAATCAATGGATTTGGACCTAGAAAAAATGTTTAATAGAGTCTAAATCTATATACTATAACAAAATAATCAGGGTTTTTTGTCATTTTGTATTGATAACCAAAAACTACATTACGGAAACCCATCTATTTGGAGAGTACTGTGTAAATTTTATTTAGAATTGTAGAATATTGATTCTTATTCAATAAATCTAACAATAAGTACCATCCTAGCCACTCTGTGGGGGACATCACCATATACCACTATAGAACTATTACATGCTAAAATTTTGATTTTTAACCTCATATTTTAAATGCTTTATTTTATGAATAAGATACAGTTGGCGTATTTGGATCTGGATAGTTATTCTTGATTTGGGTTCTAAATATATATAAGTGTATGTATTAGCTGAAAAATATTGCTTTCGTTGACCTACCTACCTACCTAGGTGATGATAACCACCTCTATTTAAAAATATTTAAATTAAGTATTTTTCCTTTACTACACGACAGTTCACTTTACATTAGTTCCAAGCAATCTAATGTCTGTTTAGAGGTCTAAATTTAAACATAGTGTTCCTTCTAGTTCGTATATGGATTTTGGAGAAGATAAATCAGGAGTCCAATGGATTTCCTTGGATACAAGTCGCCTCCCTTTGGCAGTTAAAGATTTTGAAAGACCACTCAGTGCGTTTTTGCTAATAATTCTTTGGGTCATTTCATCAATTACTCTATTTTATATTTTTTAATGATATTGATTAAACATCTCATAATTTTATTTTATTGATTTATACTTGTTCTAGAAATCTGAACTATTTTTATACCCTCCACCACCATCAGTGGTGATAGAGGGCATATAAGTTTGTCATTCCGTGTGTAACACCAAGAAATATTCATCTGAGACCCAACAAAGTATATACATTCTGGGTCCTTATGAAATTCTGAGTCTATTTAGCTATGTCCGTCTGTCTGTCTGTCTCACGTTAAAACGAAGCAATATAATTTAATGTTAAAAATATACTGATTGTTTTTTCTTTCACTTGCTCATTTTTAAATAATACTTGTTTATTATTTTTGTAGTATGTTTTGAATTAGTTTTTCTACAAAGAAAATTTTTTATGACTTTGTAAAATTATTAATAGTTTTTCATTCGATAATAAAAATACGTTTTTTGTGTTATAAAACAAAACAATTTGAATTCACAATTCTTAATAGGTTATGGGCCTTTATAATTAAGATTGTGTGAGATCCGTTTGTGTAAAGAACAAGTTGTATATTTATTGCCTGAATTCCCACTGTGTTATAAGATTTCTGTAAATATTTGAATCTTTAATATAATTTTGTGCGGAATGGCTGATCCAAAACTTTTAATAACGAAACTCAACCGCGATAACTACGAAATATGGAAGTATCGGATGAAATTATTGCTCAAGAAAGAAAAAGTATGGGAGGTAATAGAAAAAGAAATCCCTGAAAATCCAACTGCAAGATGGAACGAGCTTGACAATGAAGCAACAATATTGATTGGTTTGGCTGTTGATGAAACAGAAGTTTTTCGAATTGCCAACTGTAGATATGCTAGAGATGCTTGGAACGTTCTTAAGGCATATCATGAAAAATCAACCCTTAGCAACAAAGTCAAATTAATGAGAAGAATTTGTGAACTAAAATTGCAGCCTGGAGAGGATATGGACAAACATATAACCCAAATGAAATTATTGTTTTCCAAATTAGTGAAGAATTCTCCGAATCCTGGATAATATCAATGCTACTTAGTAGTTTACCAAGCTTGTATGACACCCTTATAACTGCACTTGAAGTAAGAGATGAAAAGGATCTAACTATGACAATCGTTGAAAATAAATTGCTAGAGGAATTTGAAAAACACAAGAAAAGAAATCCTGTTGAAGATTCAGTGTTAAAAACTAAAAATAAGTTTAAGAAGAATAATAATAAAAGCATTGTGTGTCACTATTGCCGTGGTATTGGTCATATACGAAAAGATTGTTGGAAATTTAAAAATGAAAAACATCAGAAAGCTAAATTGGCCGAAAATGAAGAAAATAATTGGTGTTTTGTTCTTAATGGAGAAGAAGGTGTGTGGGTAGTTGACTCTGGCGCAACTTGTCATATTTGTAGCAGTGAAAGTGATTTTACAAATTTGGACAAATCGTGGCATGAAAAGGTAACTGTTGCGAATGGTGATGGCGTTTACTCAAATGGAAAAGGCGACTGTAAAATAAAAATGTTAAATCAACAAGGCGTCGAAAAAGTTATTACCGTCGAAGATGTACTTTATATTCCATCGTTCAAAGGCAACTTGCTGTCTGTGAAGAAAATGTCATCAAAAGGTTTCAAAATTTTATTTTATGGTACAAACTGTAAAATTTTAGATTTGGACAACACTGAAGTTGGTGTTGCTAAGTGCATCAACAATCTATATCAATTGAAAACTGAGCCATGTCACAAAGTTAATAAAGTTTTATGTTACTTAAATAAATGCCAGCATTATTATCATAAACTTTTTGGACACAGAGATTTCAATGCAGTAAAAGCCATGCAAACTGGTAAGCTAAATGAAGATTTTAAAATTAAAGATTGTGGTATTCGAATTACATGTGATGTTTGTGCTAAATGCAAATTAAAGAAGAATCCCTTCCCTAAAAAGTCAGAGACCAAATCTAATACGGTTCTTGAGTTAATTCATACAGATATTTGTGGCCCTATGCAAAGTATAACCCCTGGAAAGAAAAGGTATTTTATAACTTTTATTGACGACTTTAGCCGCTATACTGTTGTATATTTAATGAACGAAAAATCTGAAGCATTTGATAAAATGAAGATATATATAGAAATGGTTAAAAATAAATTTGGAAAGGTACCGAAATGCATAAGGTCGGATAATTTAACTGAATATAAGTCGAATAAGATGTTTGAACTCTTAAGATGTTCTGGTATCAAATCTCAATTTACGGTTCCATATTGTCCACAACAAAATGGAGTAGCTGAAAGAAAAAATCGCTATCTTGTGGAAATGGCTCGTTGTCTACTCGAAGAAGCTAATTTACCAAAATTGTATTGGGGGGAAGCTATTATGTACTCCAACTATTTACAAAATCGTCTTGTTACAAGCTCTATACCTTGTACTCCCTATGAAAGATGGGAAAATCAAAAACCTAAAATAGAAAATCTTCATATATTTGGCTCCAAAGTATATGTCCTAATTCCAAAAGTCAACAGGAAGAAATTTGATAACAAATCAAATTTATTAACCTTTATGGGTTGTGATGAAGAAAGCAAAGGATTGCGTTTTGTGGATACAAACACAAATAAACTAATTATTAGCAGAGATTACAAATTTGTTTCTTCAGAAGTATTGTTGAATTTGCAACATGATAATAAAGAATTGTGTACTGATAACTATTTGGAAATAACTATTGCACCTAAATGTACTAATACAAATGATGTTATTACAGATGATGACTCAGAAACGGGATCATATTGCAGTATTTCAAGCGATCTTGAATATTTTACGAACTCTGAGGCCAATAATAATCCATCTGAAGTAGAAGTTCAAGTTGTCGAACCAAACCTTCGAAGATCATCAAGAATAAATAAAGGTGTACCTCCTGCAAAATACTCAGTTCGTTTGGCAGAATCTGAAGTAGTAGTTGAACCCAAAACTTATAAACAAGCCGTAAAATCATATGAAAAACGAGAATGGGAATCTGCAATGAAGGAGGAGATGGAATCTCTAAAGAAAAATCACACATAGGATTTAGTTCAGCCGCCGCCAGATGCAAATATAGTTGGTTGTAAATGGACGTACAAAGCTAAAAAGGGCGCTGATGGAAAAATTCAACGTTTCAAAGCTCGTTTAGTCGCACAAGGCTTTAATCAAAAGTATGGTTGTGATTACGATGAGGTATTTGCACCTGTGGTGCGTCAAGCCACATTTCGTATTCTGTTATCAATTGCTAGTGTTAGAAGAATGCATGTGGAACATTTGGATGTAAAGTGTGCCTTTTTAAACGGATACCTTAAAGAAACAATTTACATGAAACAATCACCTGGTTTTATTGAAGGCGATGGAAGTCTAGTATGTCAACTAAAACGTTCAATATATGGACTTAAGCAAGCAGCTAACGTATGGAATAAAGCCTTGAATGATGTTCTCGTTACCGGTAAATTTTAGCAAAGCAAAGCTGATCCATGTTTATTATATAAGTCATCAATGGGGAAGATATTTACATTTTAATATATGTTGATGACTTAGTCGTAGCTTCTATAAACAAAAATTTAATAAAACATGTTCTTGAACTACTCAATAGCAAATTTGAAGTCAATAGTTTAGGTGAAATATCATATTACCTGGGGCTTGAAGTAATAAAATCAAAAGATCACCAATTTAAAATACGTCAAAACAGTATATTGAGAATATGCTAGTAAAGTTTGGTTTACAAGATGCAAAATCATCGAAATACCCACTTGAACCATCTTATGGAAAAACTGATTCCGAACTTCTTTTACGTAATGATGAATATCAAAGCTTACTGGGGTCATTATTATATATTGCAGTCAATACTCGTCCTGATATTTGTGCTAGTGTGGCTATCCTCGCAAGAAAGACGTGTAATCCAAACCAAGAAGATTGGAATGAACTCAAACGCGTTGCCAAATATTTGAAAGGTACAAGAAACTTATATTTAAACCTTAGTGAAAATGGTTCCGGTTCAAATTTACTTGTTGGCTACGCGGATGCCAACTGGGCAGAATGTAGAATCGACAGAAAATCCAATTCGGGATATATTTTCTTGCTAAATAATAGTGCAGTTAGTTGGGCTTGCAAGAAACAAACAACAGTATCATTATCAACAACGGAAGCAGAGTTTATTGCATTGTCCGAAGCTGCCAAGGAAGCTGTCTGGATTAGAAATATTTTAAATGATTTAAATTGCAAACAATCAAATCCTACTGTTATTTTTGAAGACAACAGAAGCTGCTTAAATCTTATTAAGGAAGAAAAAACTGAGCAACAGATCAAAACATATCGACATAAAATTCCACTTCGTTAAAGATTATGTCGATAAGAAAATCATTGAATGCAAGTACTGTCCTTCAGAAGAAATGATTGCTGATATGTTAACAAAACCTCTATCAAATTCAAAACTGGAAAACTTAAGATGCAAAGCCAATATAAAGACATTCGCAATTGAGGAGGAGTGTTAAAAATATACTGATTGTTTTTTCTTTCACTTGCTCATTTTTAAATAATACTTGTTTATTATTTTTGTAGTATGTTTTGAATTAGTTTTTCTACAAAGAAAATTTTTTATGACTTTGTAAAATTATTAATAGTTTTTCATTCGATAATAAAAATACGTTCTTTGTGTTATAAAACAAAACAATTTGAATTCACAATTCTTAATATTTACCCAAATTCACCCAAAATATTCATTATTATCCGGTACAGTCCGGTATTGAAAATTAGTAAAATCGGTTCTCATCGGGAAAAGTTATGAATCAAAATTTAAAACAACTCCGAAAAAAAAAACATTTTTTACACATTCTGATGTAATTTTCTCGAAAACTATGCAAGATAATTTCATGAAAGTCATCATACATTCGTTTCTACACAAGATATTGATTCCTGCTGCAAATTGCCAGTATCGGTCCATAATTTCATATACCTCCCATACAAATGTACATATTCCCGGAAAATGAGTTTTTTGTTAATAACTTCCGTCAGAATGTCGATATATTCAAAAAATTTTACAAATTAAAATCTTATATCAATAGAATTTATTGAGAGAAAAAATTTTCTGGGTCGGTCCATAATTCGACATAGCTCCCATACAAGGTCCCCTCCCGAAAATCACTTAAACGCGCATAACTCATTACTAAATTAAGATATCCATATAAAATTTGGAATAAGTATTGCTCATATGCACAGAAATATTACTGTGATTTTTTTTTCGATCGGTCTAGTTGCATTATCAATTTGTGTAGAACAAAATTATATATATGTATTTTGAAAATCCTTAAATCTTTCACACACATGCATACATGTACATTATTAAATATCGTTAACGCATATCTTAAGGCGCTATAAAAATATAAAAGAAAATGGGGTTTGTAATGTTCAATAAATCTTGGAATTGTAACAGATTTAAGCTGTTTAAATCTTGGGGTTTTTCTATTTAAGACAAGAGAAAACTTATTTCTACAAATATTTGATCAATTAGAAAAGTATTAATATAAAAGTAGCTGGTGGAGTGTATTTAAGATTCGGCTCAGCCGAATATAGCACTCTAACTTGTTTTATATTGAAATTGCCTCATTATTTTCCTTTAAACATTTTTAAGGCAAATAACTTCACAGTTTCACACAATGAGGATATCATTTTTGCAAATTGCAATTGAAAAATACTTAACACACGTCTTTTAACAATAAAACAATAAATTCCAAAAAGTAATTAAAAAATAATTTAAAAAACCCAACGAAATTAACTCGAATTCTAAAAATGCAAAATACTTTATTGACCTGTAAATTCTGATGAAAAGTAATAAAATGGAACAACAAATGCACCAAAATTTGTATTTTAATATTTTTTTCTTGTTTTTTCCATTTTACAATCTCTATTTTTAATTGGAAAACACAAATTTACTTTTTACCTTTTTTCGAATTTTATTTATGAACAAAAAACAAAATTCTCTTAAAAAAACGTAGGCAAAAAAAAAAAATAGTTGATTCACTGTATATACCCCGCAAAAACTCGGTAATGGGTTGTACTTCATAACCACTTACTTTTCAATGACTATTACTTATCGTCAGCATTTCTTAGAAGTACACTAGTAATGACTTTTTTATAATCTAATATAGAAGTACTTTATTTTCGGTTTTGTCATTTTGTTTGCACATTTTATTTAATTGCGTGTTAAGAATTTTGTTTTACAAAAAAGAAAACAAAATAAAATTTTTATGTGAAAACCATTATTTGACGCGCAATAAAATAGCTAAGCAGTGGTGCAGTGAGTAGAAAAGTTGACTAAAAAACCGAAGTCCCAGGTTTGTATTCTAGCTGGCTTTTTTTATTATTAAAAAATAAAACAACTTACTAAACAACTACTTTGAGAGAAATTTCAAGTATTTCTTTAGCTCCCTATTTTTAAGCGATCGTGGAAGTACCCAGCAAAATTTTCTTGAATTTCGGTAATGGGTAGTAGTTATTTCCTAGGTTACAAAGTAATGAGTGATACTTATTAATCTCATTATTTCAAATACAATAATAACTAGTTGCTTGTAATGATCTAAATATGTACTTATATATATAGTTACCTACAAGGGTCAAATAAGTACTTGCATGTAATACGTGTTATAACCACTTATTTTAGTAATTAAACTAAATACATTTCAGTCTAAAATTTATAGTTTCCAAGATATAAATTGCTGATTCCAGATATCTATATTTTTGAACCGCCATTTTTTAATATGTACGTTAATGGTAAAGTTTTAATATATTTAGGTTTTAAATATTTATATTCAGCTTTTACAGTTCCCTAAATATAATTGGTTTGTTTTTATAATGTACGTACGATCAAACAACCAACTTTTAGCATTATTTAATGAATTTGTTAAATATTTCTTTTCGTTATTGAGGTGTCCAAAATGGATTTTGCTTGAATGGTTTTAATATTGTTCATTAGTGTCTAAAACTAACTGGTGTAAAATTTTAGTCCAATCGAATAACAGGAACCCGTGCCGGAAATTGATTGTAACGTATACAATTTTGTTAAAAATAAGACTTTTTTGATTTCTTCTTTCTTAACATTTAGGTCAAACCTTATCTTCTAGAGAAAATTATCCAAAGAGGTACAATTATATAATTATTATGTCTTTAGAAGATAAGATTTAGTAGAGATTTTTAGAAAATATAATTTTAATGGCATTTACCGAATTTTACACTTTCCAATCGATTTCCGGCACGGGTTCCCGTTATCTGATTGGGCTAATTTTTTTTGGTACTAATAAATAAAATAAGACCCATCCAAACAAAATCGATATTTTTTAACCACCTCTAATGTACATAAGTACATACATATTTGTATTTTTTTGTGAAAATAAAAAATTTAATGAATTAATCTTATTTTGTTATTCTTTCCTTGTATGATAAATCTTATATTCTTCATTCATACCCAGCGAAATATCTAAAATTTTTGGTAAAGAAAAGTAGTTATTTCATATATTACTTGGTAATGAGTAGTCATTATCAAGCACATTATTTTATTTAACTGAATATGTGCTTACGGATATAGAGCAAAGTAATTTGGAAATGTTATAGCCCAATTGTCTAGCGCGTCTATTTAACAAATAAGAGGTCGGTGGTTCTTGGTCAACGTCGAACAAAAATAAGTAGTTATTCCCCCCAAAAGTAAGTAGTTTCTACTTGTTTCCAATATTACTTTCTGGCTTACCGGGTATGTAAAGATTTTGCTGGGTACTTGCCTCCAGTGACACCACCGTGTTAAAACAATGACTTAAAATGCTAATGAAGAAGTAGTGAAAAAAGGTTTTATTAGCTTAACTCATTACTTTTCAATGTAAGTTTTCCTGGGTACGTATTTGTCATGAAATAATGAAAACGACCATTTGCGACCTTTTCCACGTGCATAAACAAATATTAGATAATATAAAGCCATACCAAAAAAATTATATTTTGATAAAAGAGCTTTTACGGTTTGTTTTAGTAACAGTGATTGTGAACAGATCTTTGCAGCAAGTTATAAGTTTATGTTCTCAATGAAAAAAAAAAAAAAAAAAAACAATCAAATCAAACATACACACATAACAATGTCAAAAGATAAAAAAAAAATAATATTGAATTAATTAAATAAGCGAAATAAACCAAATTAATTTCTTTGAATTTTAAATTCTTTTATTATCTTTATTCCTCATTTTAAACTAATAAATAAACTGTTTTTAATAAAAATTTTTTTTTTGTTTTGGTAAACAGCTGTCTGTTTGTGATTTCGATGTTACCACTTTACCGTTTTGTATGCCAAAATCGATTGAATTTTTTGTTTATATGCTGAAATAAACAATTGACAACACTAAACTTCTTACAATAATCGAACAACATATGAAAAATTGTCGTAAGAGTTTTTGCATAGAAAATACCAATAACATTGTTATGACCAGTGCAAGGATTTGTATGCAAATGCATGTTTGTAGTCAGTAACTCAAAATAACTTTTAAGTAGTTTTCATTTCGAATCAAAGAATTTGCAACAAAATGGCATCGATTTGTTGTTGCATAAAAATTATAAAAAAAAATAAATTTAAAAAAATTGTAAACAGTAAAGAAATATCTATCTAAACTCCTTTGGAAAATTTTTCCAGGATCAATAGGTGAAAAGTTACACTAATTTGAAAAAAAAAACTGTATGACCAAAATGTCCAACTTTGATCCCCTCTAACTCCGGCAGTACTTGACCGATAAAGTTCTTGACCTATGTGTCTGGCCTACCATCCAATAGTACAAGTTCAAATTTCATCCAAATCGATTTTTTGAGTTGGGTCACTTGACACGAGATCGTGATTCTGTTAAATTGTTATTAGAGTACATTAAGCGGTACCTCTGTCATCAAGAACCTATATATTGGTTGTCAAAAACTTAAGTCCTAAATATCTATAAAACTTTACTTAAATACGATAAAAGAAAAATTAGTGTTAATAAATAAATTTCACAAGGAAATATTTTTTTGGTGCATATTTCCCACATTTTTAGTGCATATTTTCCCATTTTATAGTGCATGTTATAAGCGCAAATTTTTCATTTTTTAGTGCATGAAAATGCTTGCCTTGGTTATGACCAGGGAAACCGCAAATATGCTCTAAACGCATAAAATATGCAGTAAAAACTCAAAATATGCTCCTAAAATTTTAGAAATAAGCTCTAGAAATTAATTTTTTGTTTATTTTGTATCATTGAATAGCTCAACAAGACTGAAAATGTAATGAAATATTTAATATTTAATGCCATATTTCATCTTACAAGATTTTGATAATTGATTCAT